CGGGCACCCACACATGCACTCCCCCCCTTCCCAAAACTGTCAGGCCAGTCTGTTCCCTGGGCTTGGAAAGGAAGTTCCCTGGGGGTCTATGTTGGGGTCCAGGTCTGGGCTGAGGCCTCTTCCTCCTCTGACAGGGCTGCGGGCCGCGGGGGTGCTCCTCCCAGCCCTCCCCCCAGGGGGAAGCTGGGGTCTAGCACTTTGCAAACTCGGAGACTGTGAGTGTCCCGGGAGCTGGAAGGATGAGTGCTCACTTCTCCCGGACTCCCCCTCCGCAGCTCAGTCAAAGTGCTCCTAATTACAAACTTGAAATTCAGGATGGACAGGGGGTGGGGGTGCAGGTCATTAAGCCCGAGTCCCTTGGATTACACTCCACCACCACCACCACCACCACCACCAGCACAGACTTCATCTCTCTCCTCTACCATCTCACCCCCACCCTTACCCTGTGGCCTAGCTTGGGGAGGATGGCTTTGATCCCACGTGGTTCTCCCCCTCTGCCAGGGCAACAGTCCCATTCCCAAAAGTGGCCGCGCTCTCGCGGAGATGCTGTGCTCACTGGCATTCGATGTGAATCTCGACTCCATAACCTCATTTCACCTCCAAACATAACTCAAAGGTTCCCAACCTCAGCCTCTTCCACTTGCTCACATGGTGGCTGAGTCCACCCTCAAGGGGCTAGGAGTTCCCAGTTTCTGCATCCCAGGTCCCCCAGTCTCTTGATGGGAGTCACAAGCTGAAAACTTTTTGGAGGAGAGCGTTATGAGGAAGGTGGCTTTCGGACACCGTGGGGCATGGGGCAGGCTTTTGAGGATCCCAGTCCAAGCAGAGAGGGTCTGGGCCTGGGGAATAGGCCCTGTGTCAGGGCAGCCTGGTTGGAGTCTGTGCTCCCTCCTCAGGCTGACCCCGAGCTCATGGGAAAGGGGAGCAGGAGGCCAGCATTTTTGGCATGAATGCGAGTGGGGGTGAGGGCAGGTGTCGGTACAGAACAGGGCAGTGCAGGAGTGGGCAGAGGCATGTATTGCTTCACCCTTCATTGCAGGGATTCTTAGAAGGATTTCATGATGTGCATGGTTAAGAGAGTACAAAGGAGGAGAATGGAATCAGTTACAATAGGAGGGATTGCAGTTAGCTCTTGGGGAGAACTTCCGGGGAGAGGCTTACGAGCTGCAGCATCCCAGGCTAGCCTGGAGCATCATGCCGGGAACTTTCCTCCACGATAGCGGGTCTGGTAGATTCCGGTGGAGGTGGATTCCAGTGCGGAAATACAGAGGGATTCATAGGGGATCAAATATAGTCAAACAAGCATATACATTAGTGCCCCCAAACATGTGTTTTTAAGGAGGGGGAGTTTCTTTCATAGCACAGCTGACGGCTAAGACGTGGGCCAGGATTTATATAAACAACCTCATTTAATTTTCACAACACAACCATGAGGTGTGGGTACCATCATTCCCATTTTACAGTTGAGGGCACTGAGGCACACAGAGCTAATAGCTTGAATAAAATCACATCACTAACGGGTGGCAGAGCCGCCGTAGGGTCCCGGCTATCCGGCTGGAGTCCATCCTCTCACTCTGCTATCCCTCGTCTCAGGACCTGCCTTGTCCTGCTGTCATTCGCACCCCAAAGCTGGGTCCATCTTGGACACAGCCCAAGATCAAGGTCAACCTCTTGCTAGATTGGAGCTTGGTGGTTTTCCTTTCAGTTGGGACAGGGATGGGCACAAGAGACCTCAGGGTGGCAAGGCCTCAGGTGTCCATGGGTGGTGGGTGGGGAATCAGCTCATTTACCCTCCAACCCCCAGGTCCCATGCCAGCCCATAGACTTGGTCATGGTTTGGTTCATTGGTGTTTTCCTTCCAAAGGGACATTAGCCCTGGTCTGCTGGTTCAAAGGTGAGATATTGGCTTGGTCAGGGACTTGGATAAAGCCTGGCCTTAATTATCCTGCTCTCTCTCCCTCCCCAGAGAGAGCCATGAATAGGGCCTGTGGGAGCTGGCTCTGCCTTGCCCCCAGAACCCCCACCCCTTCCAACACCCTGCCTTCAGATCCAGGCCCCCTGTTCCACGTGAAATGGTGCCAGCTCATCAGCAGGGCAGTGCCAGTTAGTGCCAGGCAGGCATCTTCTCCCCACTGCCTCGGTGGGACAGCAGGCTGGGGTGGCCTGGGGACTGGACTTTGGGGCGCTATGGGGGTGGAGCATATTCATCAGCTGTCAGTGTGGGTCAGGACCAGAGGGGTCTTCTTGTCCAACTCCCTCCTGCTCCAGTGGGGAAACTGAGGTCAGGGAGTGCCCAACGTCAGGTGGCCTGTGAGTGGTGGACATGAACCCAGGTGTTCTGGTTGCCGGCCCCCAGGCCATGCCTTTCCATGCACAGTTGGTTCTGTCCTTAGTGTCCCCCTCGGTGCCGGGTTCTGGGACCAGGCCCAGGAGGGAGAAGGGAGGGCGGAGGGGAGCAAGGATGAGTGGACAATGTGTCCCGTTCATCTCTGTGTCCCCAGTCGCCAGCACAGTGACTGGCACAGAGTGATTCTCCATAAATGTTTGTGAAGTGCAGGCCAGGGAGCAGCCCCTCCCCTGGCCTCCCAGGGTGCACCGTGCCTAGCTCTGCCCCTGGCATGGTGACCATCGGTCTACAAGTCAGTCTCCCCGACCAGACTGGCATTATTTGAGGGCAAGAAAAATAATAATAATAATAGCTACTTCTGAAGTGCTTACCACTCTAGGTAGGTACATTATCATCATCCAGACAAAGAAATTGGCACAAAAAGGTTACATGGCTTCCCCATGGCACACAGTGGTGGCAGAGCTAAGGAGTTGACCTTGCTCTTGACCTCATTCCAGGCAGGCCCAGAGGTGTCCTGTTTATCTCGGTATCCACAGAGCCTGGCCAGAGCAGTGCTGTTTGTTGACTGACTGAATGACTGACGTGTATGGAAAACCACAGAATTCCATCATCTGACCCTGTGGAAGCAGCCGGGATTGGAGTCTTGGGAAGGCAGCCGAGAAGTGCATTACTGTGTTATCTGCGCCAGGAGCGCCTGAGCCAAACCTAGAAAGAAAAGGAAAGCTCACCCACACCCTGTCACCAATGCCTTCCACTGCTTAACGGGGGCCACTGGGGGCCCCCAGTCCTCGGGCTTCTCTCTTGCCCTCTCTCCCTCCCTTCTTCTCCCAGAGTTCCAAGGGGACAGTGCTGGGCAGTGGGCACATGGGAAAAGACTACAGATTGGATTAAAGAGGCCTGTTCCTTTTTTCATCTCTCTGGCCCTGAGATGTTCAGCTTAATAGTTGGAGGGCGCACGGAGTGTTTGGTTTGGGGCAGGGCCTGTCATAGCCATCAGTTCTCTATGTCTGACAGGAAGGGGTATTGGACTCCCGGTCCTAAACCCTACGATGGCCAGGGTCATTCCTCCAACCTGCTCAAACCTGTGTGCTCCTGGGCAGGTGACTGCTTCCCCTCTGGCTCCCCCTGCTCCCCATCTGCTGGTTTGAATGAACATCAGACTCCAAACCAGGTCACACTGGATGTACTGACAAAGGCTGGTGGGGAGCTGGACCGGAAAAGAGAAGACTCAGTGTGGGGAGGTGCCTGGGCACACTGGGAGGTAGGCTGAATGCCTGGGCCCTGACTTCAGCCTTGCTGAAGTGCAAATTTCAGCCCTACCCCTTGCTCACTATGTGACCTTGGCCACGTTCGTTGTTTTTTGGCCTCCGTTTTCTTGTCCCTGAAAGAAACCCTCAAAATTGTTTTGGATTAAATGAGGTAATATAGGTAAAGTGGCTGACATCTGGTAATCTGAACTCTTAGTAGCAACTGGGATTACACAAACAATAATCAATGGATGGAAATGAGAACAACATACTTTGGGCTCAATAGGGGGAACCCTTTATGGCCTGAGTAATCTGAAGAGGAAATGAGCTGCCCCTGGAGGTGATGAGGGCCCCACTCAGAGGAGGTGAGCAAGCTCCGGCTGGAGGGGAGAGAATGCAGGCACTGGGTGAGAGGTTAACCCAGAAAACCTGAAGGGCTCGGCTCCGGGATTAGCGCCGGGTGGTAGGCAATCAGTGGAGCAGGTGGGGTCTGGTTCCTGCTATCAGGGACCGGAGAGAGGAATGAGAGGTTCGCGGCCGTGCGGTGAGGTCCCTCCAAGCACAAGGGGTCCTGGAAGACTTCCCGGAGAAGGCCTGTAAGCATGGGCTTGGTTCTGATGGGTGGGAGGCCCTTGCAGGCCTGCAAAGGGCTTGGTGGTTGAGGGGTGGCGAGGCCCCAAGGCCGCCTTCACATTCTGGCTGCCCGAGGGGGTGGGTGTTTGGTGGTGGTGGTGGTCATGGGGGAGCTGGTAGCTCCCTGTCTCCCCCGACGCCCCAACTCCCAGTCTCTCTTGGAGGAGGGACCAGAGCTACTCCCAGTAGCAAAGAGCAAGGGCCTGTACGGAGCGGAACTGGGGAAAGAAAGACTTCTTATGCCCAGTGCATTTGGGGGCGTCTGGGGGTCGGAGGAACAGTGGAGCCTTTGTCCCCAGCCGCCGGGAATCTGGCCGAGGAGCCAGGCCTGGGTCTGGCTGGGCTCTCACAGGCAGGTCCTCTTTGAAGTGACCCTTTCAAAGCTCAGCCTGAACCCCTGGGTGGAGAGACAGCTTGGGGCGGGGTGCAAGGATGACGGATCTGCAAGCCAAGGATGGAAGCAGATGAAGTGCCTTTGGGCAGCAGGCTGGCGGGAGGTGTGTGGGCTGGAGGAATGTGGCCAGGCTGGGGGCACTTGTGGGAGGACACAGACCCGGGGTCTTGGCCTCCAAGTGGGGGGTCAGTAAAGGGAAGGGCAGAGTTCATTTTGGCCCCGCTAAAGGTTCATTGGCTCCTATCATGATTTCTGTCTGACTCTGGGCTCCTTAATTCATAGCTTCTTTCTCTTTTTTAATTTCCTCAAAGAGTGTGAGAGTTCCTTGGAGAGATTGGGGGGGCGGTGCGGAGTAGAGGGGATGTGGGACTTAGAGCCCTAGGTAAGAGGGAGGGGTAGAGATCTGGGTCATCAGAGCTTTTCCTGCTCCTGAGAGCCCCCAACAGGCTGAAAGGGGGGGGGCTGATGTGAAGACTCCCACCCTCCACCACAGAGACTCCCCCATTCTCCATGGGGAGGAACATCTGGATTGTTCTCCAAAAGAGAGAGGGGGGCGAGGGGTGGGGGGCGGGGAGAGAAAGTCTCTGAGAGGGAACATCTTCAAAAGTTTCAGCTGGTACCCTGGCTGGTTAGGCTCAGTGGATGGAGCGTCAGCCTGTGGACAGAAGGGTCCCGGGGTCGATTCCAATCAAGGGCGCATGCCCAGGTTGCAGTTTCAACGGGAGATAGGCCACCCCTATTTCCCTTCCTCTCCATTTGACTCTTGGGGAAACTGAGGCCTGGAGACAGGACAAGGAGGCAGAGGGCAAGGGAGCGGCGAAAGTGGGAGGAGAGGGAGGATGGGAGACAGCTGAGAAGGGAGCTCCGGTTGTTGAGTTACAGCCCAAGGGTAGTGAAGAGTCCCTCTTCTGACCCGCTGGGATTCCATGAAAGGAGGGGGGGGGGAGCGGAGGAGTGGGTTTCTGTTAGTTTTGTTTGTTTGTTTTTTATTGAGTAGTGGACAGTGGAGCCTCTGGCCACCCAGGTGAGAGCCCTATCCTGATGCTGTTTTCTAGTTCATGCCCCCACACCCCAGTCTCTTGGTGGCATCATGGCACTCGCTGTACTTGGGAAGACTCTTCTAAATCTCCCTTACCTCTTCCGAGGATGTGGCCCTGGTTCCCCCTCCAGAGACGGGGAGGAGGGAGCTGAGGGCCGAGGTCCTGATGGGGCTGCAGGCGGTCGGGTCCTCTTCTGTATCTTGCACTGGCATCTGCAGAGCTGAGCCCTCATTAGCTGTAATGAGGCCTTGGCACTGTGCCCCCTCTGCCCTGCAGCACCTGGCGGGGACGATGGGGCAGCTGAGGTTGGGCCTAGACACCAGGAGGAGGGTGGGATGTCTGTAAGAGGAAAGAGAGGGAGTCAGGAAAGGGGGGCCATGCAACAGGCTAGGGCTGCTGACAGACAGAGGAAGAGGCACATATATCAGCTGACCTATCATCATCATTGATGCTACAATCTTTCACTCCCCCTCCCCTCCTCTCTGAAATCAATTAAAAAAAAATATATATATATATTGATGTCAGAGAGGAAGGGAGAGGGAGAGAGAGATAGAAACATCAATGATAAGAGAATCATTGATTGGCCGCCTCCTGCAAGCCTCCTACTGGGGATCGAGCCCATGACCCAGGCATGTGCCCTTGACCGGGAATTGAACCATGCCTTCCTGGTTCATAGGTCAAAGCTCAGTCACTGAGCCCACTGGCTGTGCTCTATGATTTGACTTTTAAAAGGCAAATGACTCAGGGGTTATTGTGTGACTAAAAAATTAAGCCAAGAAAGTAAGAAAATGAGCCATAGACCGTGAGAAAATACTTGTGAAAGACACACCTGGTAAAGGTCATCCAAAACACACAAAACCTCTTAAAGCCCAACAATAAGAACACATTCCTTCCCCACTGGGACCTTGGCCTGGCCAGTGGCTCCCAGATGCTTGGGTCCCACAGTGCTAGGGAGAGTGTTATCTGGGAGACGGGTGTGGCCCAGGAGCTTAAGGACATTCCCAGGCCTGGCCTCAGCCTGGGGCAGGAGAAGGACCTGACTCCAGAGATTGGAGGTTCTGTGTCTGGGAAAACGAGGCAGCAGCCAGATCTCCATGCCAACCGGCCGTGGTTCATTTGGTGATCACTCCTGTGTGTCCTCTCATTTCTTGTGTTTCAGGCTCTCTGTGGGTCCTGGGATCTGGATGAAAAAGACACAACCCTGCTATCAGGGGGGTTCTTGTCTGTTTTTCCTACCACCCAACAGCTCCACTAAGATTTTATAACCACAGGTTCTGAGATTTTCATCTACACTGTCTGCCAGACCAGAACACTCCTTGACACCCTCTGTCAAAAATATTACAGCACGGCCAGCATGGCTCAGTGGTTGAGCATTGACCTATGAACCAAGAGGTCAAGGTTCAATTCCAGTCAGGGCACATGCCTGGGTTTTGGGCTCAATCCCTAGTGTGGGGCGTGCAGGAGGCAGCCAATCAATGAATCCCTCCCATCATTGATGTTTCTATCTCTCTCTCCCCCTCTCCCTTCCTCTCTGAAATCAATAAAAATATATATATATATAAAATTTTTAAATTACAAAAAGATGATCTGGCATAACTGGGGAGACAGAACCAAAGCAGACACTAGCGAGTATCGTCACTGTGACGTCATTTGAGTGTGAATGTGGCCACAAAGGCGGTAACAGCTGTTTAAAGATGGAAACAGTACGGCTGGGTAGAATCGCTGTCGGAATTGGTTAAGAACCAATTGGCAATGTGATTAATCTCCTTTCTCTCATTTCCTGTTTCCAAGCCTATCGTTGAGGATTCTTTAGTGAAACTTCTTTTCTATGAATTTTCAAGGATCATTGTGAAGTGGTTATCTATTTACTGATACAAGAGCTGAGACCCTGAGAGGGTCTGAGACCCATCAAAGGTCACCCAGCATCTGAATTTAAGTCTGGGTCTTTCTGAATCCTAAGCCTGTCCTGTGTCACGGCTACCTTCCCTGACCAGGAAGAGCCTGCGAGAGGTGGACACTCCCGCCTCCCCCCACCGAGCCCTGAAACCCAAGTTGGGGTCTGGGTGATGAAGGAGGGGTGGAGGGTGCAGATGCATGATTATGTTCTGCTTCTCCATGCCTCCGCTGTGCCTGCCTCTCCTCATGCCTGCCTAGAGTCTGGGTTTGCCCTCGAGTGGTATGGAGCACCCCAGGGCTCCATCAATCAACATGGGTTGAGCCCCTGGTTCTTCTAATGATGCTCAAGCTCTGAGGGAAAGAAAGCTTCATTGAGGGAACAAGGCTGGCCCGGGCCTGAAAGATGTCCGCTGGAGCAATAGAGGGGTGGTAAGCATAGAAGGGAGAGATGGGCATTCCAGACCCAGCATGACTTGTTTTCATAGAGACTGTGGAGCCATGGAAGGGTGGCAGGCAGCGGAGACAGCAGACCAGATGATGAGGGCTGAAACCGGAGCTGGGGATGGAGAGGACAGAATAGGAGCAGATACATCACCCTCTTCCCTTTCAGAAACTTGCCACACCATCTCTTCACCTTCTCTGAATGGCCTTTCCTGTCTTCTCTATTTCTCAAACTCCTATTCATCCTTCAATGCCCAGTTCAAATATCCTTCTCTGTAAAGCACCCCCCGCCCCCCCCCCCCC